TACATCCTCAACCACGATGTATACGTATATACCCGCCTCGCCCCCTCCACCTGCCAATACGTGCCCTATTACTTGTAGCCACCTATGTGTCCACTTAGTGCTACTCAGTAAACCATTTCCTGGAGATATATCTGGTGCTTGTTTTTCATTCTTGGAACTCAACTAGTAGTATGGGCCAGCCCTAACCAATGGGAAAATAAAGGTGTGCTATATCACCATTGTTTCTTAGAGCTGAATAGTACTCCATGGTGTACATATACCACATTTTATTAATCCATTCTTTGATTGATGGGCACTTGGGCTGTTTCCACAGCCTTGCAATTATGAATTGTGCTGCTATAAACATTCGAGTGCAGGTGTCTTTTTTGTAGAGTGTCAGGTGATAATTTGTTAAAGGGAGCTTTATTGAGATAAAATTTACATAACATAATTTACCCATTTAAAGTATACAATTAAGTGACTAGTATATTCAAGAGTTGTGAACCAATCGCCACAATCAATTTTAGAACATTTTTATCACTTTCCAAAAACTTAATTACTGCTTTTCTTCACTGTTCAGAATTTTGCCATCTTGGATGTGAAGTGAAATTGACAAGTGAATGTAACCTAGGGCCAAGTTGTCAATGTTTGATCTCAGGACCCATTACACTCTTAAATTATTGAGGACCCCAAAGAGGTTTTTTTAATACAACTTAAATATGTTTCTGTTTACTATATTAGAGATTAAATTTGAGAAATGTTTATGTTGATTCATTGAACTCACTTAATTTTAAGATAAGTAACTTTCTAATGAAAAATAATTATTAATGAAAACATTAGTGGGAAGAGAGGCACTGTTCTACATTTTTGCAAATCTTTTTGATTTCTGGCCTTCTTAGAAGGTAGCTAGATTCTGATATTTGCTTTTTCATTCAGTCTGTTATGATAGCACATTGCCGTTTAGCCTCTGGAAGGAAAACGCTATGCATTCGTGAGCTGATGCGAATGGCAAAAACAATATCTTAGTATTATTCTGAAAATAGTTTTGACCTTGTGGGTGCCCTGTAAGGTCTTGGGGTTCGTTAGTGGTTGTCCAATCATTTTCTGAGAACCACTTCCTTAGAGAAGGTATTCAGGACACTGTTACCACATTACACAATGCCTGTTGCCTCTCCTGCCCCACTCACAAAGGCCTTTCTATTCATTGATATTTTTGGAAACATGAAAGTTGAAAATACATAGAAGGAAATAATCGCCCATATTCCTGCCACATAGAATCAAGCACAGTATCTTCTTTGTGATCGTCTGTGGAAGAAATTCTAGTTTATAGATACTGAATTTAGTAATTGATTGTATTTCCCTATTTGCATTGACTGCTTGGAATTTCACAACCAAACCCTTGCCTAAGAAATATATGGAATTCAATGTTTTCTTAAGACAGATTTAACACAAATTCTCTTAACTTATATCAGGTGGCAGAATTTCAACTCAGATGAGCCCGGTAAGAAGAGAAATTTATTGGCTGTTGTAACTGGGAAATACAGGGACAAGCAAATCTGGCTTCAGGCATAGATGGATCCAGAAGGTCATTAGGGCTTTATTTCATTGTTTTTGAGTTCTGATGATCTGTTTGACTTTATCTTTGACTGGGTCTAAGGGTTCCCACAGTGTCTTGAGGGCTCTAGCTCCGTTTCATGATTCAGCTGTTTGTTGCTTTCCTATAGAATTGCTCTGTGTGGCAGGAAAAATGGTTACCAGGAGCTGCAGATTCATATGTTTTTATGTCTAAAAACTATAGCAGAGAGGATTGTTTCTCTCCCAGCATCAGCATTTGATTTCAGGGGAAACCCTGATTGGCTCAGTTTTGATTATGTATCCACCCTGTGGTCTTAGAAGTAGGGATTGTATCATAGCAGACACCCAACTAGAGGTACATGGACTCGGTGAGGATTCCCCTATGCGAAGGGTGGCTGTTTCCAGGAGAACAGAAATTGGACAGTCCTTTCACCTGACTAAAAGAATAATAGTTAATTATTCAATCCAATTAATTCAAAATGGAACCAAGAACTAAACATAAGAGGTAAAACTATAAAACTCTAGGAAGAAAACATAGGGACAGTTCTTCATGACCTTGGATTTGGCAATGGTCTCTTAAATATGATACCAAAAGCACAGCAACAGCAACAAAAAAGATAAGTTAGACTTCAAAATTAAAAGTGTTTGTGTCTCAAAAGACATCTGTAAAGACAGTGAAAACACAACCCACAGAATGAGAGAAAATATTTGCAAATCATATATCTGATAAGGGTTTATACCCAGGATAGGTAAAGAAATCTTAGAACTCGACAGCAAAAAGACAGCTGGCAATTTAAAAGTAGCCCAAGGGCTTGAATAGACATTTCTTTAAAGAAGACGTACAAATGACCAAAAAGCACATGAAAAGATGCCCAACATCATTAGTCATTAGGAAAGTGCGCACTAAAACCACAATGAGATACCACTTCACACCTATCCACTAGGGAGGCCATAATAAAGAAACAGAAAATAACAAATATTGGTGAGGATATGGAGAAATTGGAACCCCCATACACTAATGGTGGGAATGTGAAATAGTATAGCCGCTGTGGAAAAGTTTGGTGCTTTCTCAAAATGTTAAACATTGAATTACTGTGTGACCCAGAAAAATACCCCTCCTAGGTATTTGTATGCACCCAGATTGTAAACAGGTGTGCAAACAAAAACTTGTACATGAATGTTCATAGTAGCTCTACTCACAATGATGAAGTCTAATTTATCTTTTTTCTTTCGTTGCTTGTGCTTTTGGTGTCACATTTAAGAAACCATTTAGAAAAGGTGGAAGCAACCCAAATAAATGTCCATGTCCATCAAAAGATCAACGGCTAAACAAAATGTGGTATCTCTGTACAATGGAGTATTATTCAGGTAATAAAAAAGAAGGAAGTACTGATGGATACTATAGCATGGATAAACCTTGAAAATATTATGCTAAGTGAAAGAAACCACAAAAGGCTACATGATGTATGAGTTCATTGACATGAAATAGTCAGAATTGGCAAGTCAATAGGGACAGAAAGCAGATTAGTGGTTGCCGGGGCTGAGGCAGGGTAGAATGAATGGGTAGTGACTGCTTAACAGGTATCTGGTTTCCATTTGGGCTGATGAAAAAGTTCTGGTCTTGGTTGTAGAACATTGGCAGTGCACTTATTGCCACTGAATTGTACACTTGAAAATGATTACAATTGTAAATTTTATGTTATATATGTTTAACCTAATAAAAAAGATGCCTTGGTAAACCCCTCACCTCACCCCCTCAAAACTCACAGTAGTTGCAATAGTCTACTTCAGGCAGGTAAGGAGTGATGGATATGCTAGTAGCTGTTACCTTGGGCTGACCCAAGCTTTGGAGAACAGATCGTATTTAGAATTAAGTATATGCTGGGTAGCATTCCTCCTCCATTAGTAGTATCTCAATTAATTGTAAATTTTTGTGAGAGGTTGCTGTAAGCAGGCTAATTGTGTAATACCTTTGGTTTTTTAGGTGTTCTGATTTGATCTAGGGTACAATTCATGGGCTAAAAGTGCTTATGCACTTTCTTTGAAAATAGAGAATAAGGAAGAAAGAGAAATGAATGTACCAATGGAAGTAATTCATTTATGAAGTCTTTTTATTGTTTTTTGTTTGGGGTACTCATGTTGACAAGGGAAGATTGTTCTATTTGATATTTTTCTGAGTTCTGGGATAAATAATTCCTCTCTTATATGTTCTTAGTGTCTTTTTGAGAATGTCACAATCTGGGGCTGCAGTCAGACTTATGTCTCTATCACTCAGCTCAACAGTGCAATTTGGAGCTGACTCAAGTGTTGCTGGATGGCTCTTATCCACTAATGCCCTTGACATTTTACATTGGTGAGGTTTCACTGTGTCCTCTGAAAACAGGGGCAATGGAAGGGTTGTTATATGGACTGTCTTTAACTTATAATACACGAGGCACACTCAGGAGTAGTGGGTCTCATGATAAAAAACATCCTGACAATCACTGTCTTTTTCCCTCTAGTGGTGCCTGTGGAGAGGTAAAGCTGGCCTTCGAGAGGAAAACATGTAAAAAAGTAGCTATAAAGATCATTAGCAAAAGGAAGTTTGCTATTGGCTCAGCAAGAGAGGCAGTAAGTACCTGTGTTTGTGGTTGCTCACCTTGTCTTGACACCTTTTCATAACTTCCCGCAATAGTCTTAGAGCAATGATTTTCAATCTCAGGAATAGCTCACTGCTCAGAAATGCGAATTTGTGAGTATCAAAGAACATGGACAATTTTTTAGTATCTTTAATTAATCTAGAGTCTTTTACTTATAGATAATTTGGTTCCAAAAATATTTGGTTGTACATAATAATGTACATAGCAGGAAGTTTTTTTTTTTCTTCCAAGTTCAAAGTAGATTGTTTTTACAATAAATGAAAGGAAATTAGAGAAAAAAAATTCAGCCATAATAACCCCTGTAACCCCACAGCTGTTTTCAGTTTTCCTTTTCCTCCTAGTCTTTGTTCATATGAATTTGTTTTTAGGTGGTTAAAATCATATTGTATAGGCCAGACGCGGTGGCTCACGCCTGTAATCCTAGCACTTTGAGAGGCCGAGGCCGGCGGATTGCTCAAGGTCAGGAGTTCAAAACCAGCCTGAGCAAGAAAGAGCAAGACCCCATCTCTACTATAAATAGAAAGAAATTAATTGGCCAACTAATATATATAGAAAAAATTAGCTGGGTATGGTGGCGCATGCCTGTAGTCCCAGCTACTCGGGAGGCTGAGGCAGAAGGATTGCTTGAGCCCAGGAGTTTGAGGTTGCTGTGAGCTAGGCTGACGCCATGGCACTCTAACCTAGGCAACAAAGGGAGACTCTGTCTCAAAAAAAAAAAAATCATATTGTATATACAGTTTTATATTTTGCTTTTGCACATGTGCATTATAGCATAAACATTTCTCTAATACATCCTTTTTGATGATTAAGTGTCCATGTCATCAATTTTATCCTAATTTATTCAGCCATTTCTCTAGTCATTTAAGAAATTTCCAATTCTTTGTTCTTCTGGGTAATATGTAAATGAGTATCTTTTATTTATGGATTAGTTATAATTTTTTAAATTTTTAATTAAATTATTTTAATAGCCTCTATGTAGTGGCCATTTCTTTTATTACATTTTTTAAAATCCACATTTACTGTATGGGTGAGATGGCTAAATGTATCGATCTTTCCACACATGACCCGATAAAGTAATGTAAAACACATCCCCTAATCACATTTGCCTTTTTGGCCGGCTGTTTCTTGCTATTATAATTTAACATTCTTTAAAGTTCAGGTTTTTTTTTTTTCCCTAGACAATGCCATTCTCATATGGCAAGAGGAATTTCCTTTCTGTGTTCATTTTATTATAGATCTTTTCCCCTGTGATTCTGGGTTTGTTTTCCATTTTGGGGGAAATATCTACCAGATTGTTAAAAACTTGGAGTAAGATTTTACTTCTTAATTTCATACTTCAAATCATATTGGACTCTTTATGATCACTGTATTATCAGAGTACACCCGGACTTGATAATGAGTTTAATGGCTTACAGGAGGAGACAGGCTCTTAAAATTAAACATCTGGGTTTCTTAGCCGAAGTCCATTTTACATAAATATGTAATTCTATCTCCTCTTTGCTTGTGGAGGGTGTAGCCCAGGAAGTTGAGTTACTTGATTCATCCTTATGGAATTGTAACAGAGAACAACTTTAGTACCCTGAAGCTTCCTCTCGTCAGAGTCTCAGTAAATATGTTAGCCTGCAGTTGAAGTTGGAACCTCTGTCCGCTTTATTAGTAGAAATTTGACTTGACATTTTCTTCATAAAACTGTTAAACACCTTGTCCATGGTTTTGTTTATTTCATCATTTTTATGAATGTAAATAATTCCATAGCTAATGACAAGTAGAGCTTACCAGTTAAATGTGAAAACAGCAGAAACATACTTGTTTCTCTGACTGTGGGAACCAGGGCTGACTTCTCTCATCTTAGCCTTGGTTCTCGCATCTGTAAAAATGAAGAAAATTATACAATCCAGTTCAGTTGGGGATTCTGAGGCTTCTGTGAGATGATCCTTGGAAATAAAGAGCTTGGCATATGGCCTGGCCATTTATTGAATGCTTACTATTTGCCAAGTACTTTGCAAAGTAATTTTAGGTGAGTTATTTAATTCATTGACTTCCGGGCTTTGATTTCTTTGTATGAATAGAACTGGGTTTGGAACTTATGTAGCCTTTAGTCAACTAAGTTTAATTGCAAATATTTTTTAAAATATTGGCCATTATTATTATTAATAATAAACTCTAATGTTATTCTGTTTATCAAAGGACCCGGCTCTCAATGTTGAAACAGAAATAGAAATTTTGAAAAAATTAAATCATGTAAGTATTGCTGTAAATATTACCCATGGTTGAATTCATTTATCTCAAAATATAGGAAGAGTGTAAAGCATTTCAATATAATATAGCTAATATTAACCTGGGTTCCTTAATTTGTATGGATATTCACATGCCTACACACCTGGCTGTCATTTAGCTGGGAAGAATTTTACCCTGAAATTTTGAGAGGACAATACTGTATAAAGATTTCATGATTAAATAATTTTGTGATATTTCTGGTGAGTTAGTTCTTGACCAAAAGACATAGTAATTATTCTATCTCATAGGAACTTGATCAACTGATTGTATTTGTGAAGACAGTGCTAATAAGTCTTAATACCCTTAAATACCTTTTTGGGGGAGTTATCCAAATAAATTCAAGGGTATCCAATAAGTATGATAGCATCCTATCCTTATATCTGATTAAATGGTTTCTATGGCCTTGTTGGATGTAAATAGTTCTTATTTTTTGTATAATAATGACTTCGTCTCAATGGAAAGTATATCTCACTTTAAAAAAGTGAGAAGGAAAAGTTAGCATGTAAGACTGAACCCATCTTCCTTTTTATTGGTTCTTTGAATTTCATCATTAATTCATGAGTACCCATGAAGGAATAAGCTTGGTAGGCCTTGGATTAAACTTAAAACAAGACCTCTAGTCTGTCCTGCTAATGAGTGTCTTATTTTGGCTCTTCTCCTCCAGACAATACAAATATTTCTTTTATTTTACCTCTCCAAATCCCTCAAAGAACAAATAGAAACTAAGAAGAAAATGACTGCTATTGACACAATACTTCAACAGGCTTCTCTAGAACTCAGTAGCTGGAGTTGAAAACCTTTGAGAATCTGAGTGACTGACCTTCCTGCTTGGCTTTATTCTAATTCTTTTGCAACTTCCTCCTCCTTGAATTTGCCAGGTCCTTTTTCCAAGAGATTGGGAGTCTCTCTTTAAGAGAGGAACCCTCTAATTTTCTGGGGTGTAGTTGCAGCAAACATACCCTTAAGTTAAACACTTAGAATTCTCAGAGAATTTTCTCTGATGTCAGAGGATTTCCAAACATAACATTTATACAAATCTGGTGTCCAGTGAATAGAGAAGAATTCAGAAGAATTTTAGGAATTCAGAAGAATTCATAAAAAGGTCCTTGGACATATTTCTTGGCACATGGAATCCTTGGGAATTAAACATGGGCCATGCATTCATTTTGATGTTGGGAACAATGAGTAGAGTCTAGTGGCCAAGAGCATGGCCTTTGGAATCAGACATTGATTTGGTCAACTGTCAAACACTTAATTATGCCAGGCTGTCTTCTAGGCCCGAACAGTGTTAAGCACAGTTGGAGCTGTCCATTACTCCCCTCATGTGACTTCAGTCTAGTATCGAGACGGACATGAGTTCCTATCCCATTGCTATCATCTCCTGTCTCTCAGAAGGTCATTTTACTTTTAGAAGCCCCTGTTTCATCATCTGTACAGTGGAGACAATAAAGATACTTACCTCACAAGATCAGTGTGACAATTCCATGAAATGTGCTCCTGAAGCTTTCAGCACAGAGTGCACACTAGGGGAATGATCGTGATCCTTGCAAATCCGTGTAATTCTCTGAATCCTTCCCAGTGTGACCTAAGTGGAAAGTCTGGGTTAGCAGCCTCTGGTTCCTGGTAGAGAGACACTTCCAGCTGGGACATCCCCAGCCAGTGACCCCAGAAGTAGAGAATAGAGAGGACAGTTTACTCTGGTTGTGACTTTTTAAATTTTTATTTATTTCTGTTTTTTAGAGACACAGGTCTTTATTTTTTTATTTATTTTTTTGAGACAGAGTCGCCCTTTATTGCCCAGGCTAGAGTGAGTTCCGTGGCGTCAGCCTAACTCACAGCAACCTCAAAGTCCTGGGCAAGCAATCCTTCTGCCTCAGCCTCCTGAGTATCTGGGACTACAGGCATGCGCCACCATGCCCGGCTAATTTTTTCTATATATATTAGTTGGCCAATTAATTTCTTTCTATTTATAGTACATATGGGGTCTCACTCTTGCTCATCTTGCTCAGGCTGGTTTTGAACTCCTGACCTTGAGCAATCCGCCCTCCTCGGCCTCCCAGAGTGCTAGGATTACAGGCGTGAGCCACCGCGCCTGGCTGGCTCATTCATTTTTTATTTTTTTAGAGATGGGGTCTTGCTAAAGCCCAGGCTGGTCTCAAACTCCTGGCCTCAAGTCATCCTCCTACCTCAGCCTCCCAAGTAGCTGGGATTGCAAGTGTGAGCCCCCACATCAGACTCTGGCTCTGACTCTTGGGCATCTCTTCATGCTTTATCAGCTTCTAGCCCCACCCATTCCCGTATGAGCTTTGGCAATGCCCATTATGAGGCCATGCAGAATCAGGCAGTTCTCAGTTTTCCTTCTAATGCCTTTTCCATGTGTGTGTTTTTTTCTGCTTCTTCTTTAAAAAGTAATTTTATTAAGATATCATGTGTATAAAGAATCAAGTAGTGCTAAAAGTTTTTTTACTCAAACCAGTAGCTCCTTGTCCCTCCTAATAGCCCCGTCTGCAAACGTTTTACAACTCTTAGCTGTTTTTGCTAGAATTTACTCCATATTTCTACACAATGTGCATAAACTATTTTCTCTTGGTTTATCAATTTTAGATAGCTTGTTGACTTCCTGTTATGGTATATGAGGATTTTAGCTCTCTCTCCTTTCTATTCCTCTTACTATAATACTACAATGTGTACTCACCGTTTTCATTATTGTGACAATAACAACTGTTCATGCAGATCCAAGTAGTGTGCTATGATCGTAGGTAAGGAGTGGTAGAACTGGTTTGTTCTTAGACCAATCCTCATGGCCTTATGCTCCATGACTAAAACCTGGCGGACAGAGTCTGCCCTCCGTGGGTGGTATACCTGTTTTTGAGGTTGTTGATGTTAATCTGTGTAGCGTGTCTCCTCTGTGCCAGCTGCTCATGCTGGATATTGGGCCTAAAAAGATCAATAAAACGCGACTAAGCCCATTTGGTGTCTGGTGAAAGGAGACCCATGGTGTGTGTCATTTTTCTTTCTCTGGAGCTCACAGCATGGTGGGGAAACAGATAGTAAGATGCAGTGTGGGGTGACACAGATTAGCACCACTGTGGGGCATGTGGATGTGTCCGAGGGAATATCTGAGTTGAGGCTGGACACCTGAGGCCAAGTGTGCTGAGAGGGCTGGATCCCTAGCCAAGGGTGTGGTATGAGCAATGGTCTAACACTAGGAAAGAGCACAGAGAGCCTGGGGTGGGCAGGGCGTTTTGTTGCCTCCTGGAGAGGAGGAGGCATGGCACCAGGAACAGGAGATGGGGTGGGGTGGGGGTGGCGGTCAGGGGCAGGATGAAGCTGGGTCATGACGGGTTTGGCAGTCCCTGCTGAGAAGCTGGATTTTAGCAGCAAAGCAGCAAGAGGCCAAAGGTTTTCTTTCTTCTTGCCTTCCATCCTTCTCTTCTTCCTGATATCCTCTCTTCCTTCTTTTAAGTATTGAAAAATTATATAGGCCGGGCGCGGTGGCTCACGTCTGTAATCCTAGCACTCTGGGAGGCCGAGGCGGGGGGGATCACTCAAGGTCAGGAGTTCAAAACCAGCCTGAGCAAGAGTGAGACCCCGTCTTTAGTAAAAATAGAAAGAAATTAATTGGCCAAAAATAAAATAAAATTGAAAAAAGAAAAAAATATATAATATTTGAAGGCCAGGCTCAGTGGCTCACGCCTGTCATCCTGTCACTCTGGGAGGCCGAGGCGGGCGGATCTCTCGAGGTCAGGAGTTCAAAACCAGCCTGAGCAAGAGCGAGACCCCGTCTCTACTATAAATAGAAAGAAATTGATTGGCCTATATAATATATATAGAAAAAATTAGCCAGGCATGGTGGCGCATGCCTGTAGTCCCAGCTACTCGAGAGGCTGAGGCAGTAGGATTGCTTGAGCCCAGGAGTTTGAGGTTGCTGTGAGCTAGGCTGACACCACGGCACTCACTCTAGCTGGACGGTGGTGCGAACTGAGTCAGACCCTGATTCTCTGGATGGTAAACTCCTGTTTCTCTCTTCTGACATCGAATCTCAAGTCCACGTGGGACATGGTGATAAACTTGGCAGAATCAGATTTTAAAAAGTTTCTCCAGAGTATCTCCAATGCAGCACTTATTTCTATCTTGTTCTTAGTGTTGATAACTGAGAGCATCTGATTGGACGGATGACGCTTGATACCTCACTTAGCTTAAAAATGGGATTCAGAGTATATAAAATGGCACCATTGCTTGTCTTAATGAGTTTGTTTTTTCTTCTGTCAAGTGAGCTTCCCTCCAGGAATGAACCCTGCTTTGCTTGTGTGTTTCAAGGATTGAAGGAGGAGAGCTGTTGACAAGGTGGTGGGGAATAAACGGCCTGAAAGATCTACCTGCGCAGCTTCTATTTTTACCCAGATGCTCTTGGCTGTGCGAGGTAAGAGAAGCTCTCAATATTGCAACACTTTCTTTTAGTGTGTTACTAGGCAGAAACTGAGGGACTGGATTAAAACTCGAAGAGAACCCCAGTTGGTGTTTTCTGTTCTTGGCAAACAAACATCCTACCCTTTGACTCGGGATGATAAAGCTCTCAGGTGAAGTTTAAGGAAGACAGTCAGGAAAGGGAATTAAAGAGATGAATACTGTTCCTATGTCTCCTCTCTTAGCTTGGAGGTATTTCTGGGAGGGACTTCTAGGTCTGCTCTAGGTTGATTTCTAGGGTCTGCTCGGTGCTTGCAGAAATCCTGCTCTAACTCCCTGAGTGGGAACCGGCAGGTTAAGGGGAAGGCTGGGCAAGTTGGGGTCATTATGACAGATGGGTTGCTCCCCTATAGCTTAGTACTAGGTGTTCTTTGAGGTGCAATGCAACATCTTGCTAACTGCGGCAGCAGGTCAAGGAAGGTCAGGTGGGACATGTATGTAGCTTTCTATATTCAAATGAAAGTGTTGGATGGAGGAATAGCTGGTGGCACTTGCTT